CTCTCTCTCTCCTCTCTCTCTCCTCTCTCTCTCTCTCTCTCTCCTCTCTCCTCTCTTCTTTCTTCTTTCTTTTGTATTCATTATGCTTCTTGTGCGCGGCGGCAAATAAATTGGTGTAACGTAAGTCGTTTAAGTGAGTCGTGCGCTTAATTGGTTTCTGAGCCAAAGTAATTTACGAGCCGACCTTTGAATTTCACGGAATTTTTGCTTAATTTATAAATAGCATATACTTACTCTATAATTTAGCATTATCTGATATTGTGTTTAAGATTGTTGTATCCTCCCGTACTCGTTAATAAATACTTTATAATGTTGCTTTACACCTCGCGTGCGGTCGATATCGTAAAAGTTCAAGCGTCGAAATACGGAATGAAAGAACAATAAAGAAAAAAAAAAAATTAATAAATAAATTTTAACACGCGTCTTCGTTACGACTATACTATAGATTATCGTAAATATTTGCCAATACTTGCAATAACGTATATTGTAAATTTTTTATCTTTTGCCCATCCAATGGCAGGCTATTGAGCATCCTCGAGTAGCTAAGCTAAAGTGAGAAAAATGTGAAAAACCATATGTAAATCGCAAATATAATCTTATCCCTCGATATTTTATGCTCAATGATACATGCATCATTTTGCCAATGCTTAAGCGCGCCCCTCCACACAGAACACACACGCGCGCGCGCGCGCGCCCGTCCATCTAGCTATCCATGTAAGATTAAATTACATTTAAATACTAATATGTAAATAGAGCCATCGATATTTTAATTAAACGCTTCGTAAATTATTCTTTAGCAGCCACATACACACGCGCACACGCACACACACACACATATGAACTTGAAACATTATTTTTATTATCGTAAAACAGCTTGCTTGTCGCACCCTCAATATAGTCTAACACCAAACATTTAGATGTACAACTGTTTTCAGTTTCATTAAGCAATTAAGCTAATCCTGTAATTCGTAGATGTAACTTAGTTGAGTAATTTCGCAAGGAGCGTAGTAGTAGTAGTAGTAGTATCGCTGGAACTCGTGTTATTCCTTATAATAAAAGCATATAGATCGTCAACTCAATTCCCGAGTATTTATTTGATAAATACATTGTATTATATTTCTGATATCACTGTAATAATAATCATATTTATAATAAATTGCTTTTAATTTAATTTGATTCGGTCTACCTACGGCCTTTCTTGCTTGCAATCAACCACGTGGTGTGAATTTGGATTTTCGCTATCCAACCTAGTAAGTATTTAGACACGAGCCCAACTTTTTGCCTGAATGATTGTATTTCATTGTATTGTCAGCATTGTGTACCATTGGCATGCATAGATTTTGTTTTAACACTCTGCTATTCTTACCTATTGTGCCTCATTAGACACTCGTCTCGTGCCTCTGAATTCACTCGTAATACAATAAACCACTTAATTAAATCATATAACCGAAACCAAGCCAACGCACTTGTCAAATAACTCATTTTTCATATGTACTAATCACTTAACAAACTTCTACTATGATTTAATTAATTGAGGTAATTAAAAAAATGACGCCCACCCACTACCTTTTGAACACGGGATGGGGGGGGGTGGGCTTGAATATACAATTTCATAATAAAATTTAATAATTTAATGAATTATTGTAATGAAAATATTATCAATTCCGCTGAATGACACGCTTTTGTGATTTGTTTCATGGAAACGACAGAAGTTGATCGAGGTGTGCATAGCTTTGAAGGTCTGTTCTCTACAATATGCATAGATTTTAAATTTCAATCGTGAATTTGTCTTATAATTTATTATTAATTTTTTCGTTTTTTGTTTTTGTTTTTGTATTTTTTTTTTTTTTTTTTTTTTTTTTTTGGTTTTTGTTTTTGTCATTGTTTTTAATGCATTTGCATTTTAATATCTAACGGCAATGCAAAAGTTTTGGTTTTGTTATTAAATATCTAAGTTTTTTCGGTTCTTTCATTGTGTTCTTTTTCATTTTTATGTTTTTCTTTCTTTTTCCTCGTGTTTTTTTTTTTCTTCCTTTTTTTTTGTGTGCACAATTGGGTAAAAACGTGATTGCCTCTTTTAAATAAAAATTTGCCAATTATTCTCTGATTACTCCGTGATTAATGAATTTTTCCAATTCCTTTGACATTAGCAACGAATATTCAAAAACGAATCACTAACAACATTATCAAATTATAGCTTGGATCACTTTGTTTGATATTGCGAAGTTGCGAGCAACTTTTTCTTATAAAAATCGCGAGAGTGTGTAATCAAAGTTTCCAGCCAAGCAAACCCTATCAAACAATAAAAATAATGTCAGACTTCGTTTTCATAAGTAAATAGTGTCAAACGCTATCGTGCATTCGCATTACAATAACTCAAAGCGCATGAAATCATTTTCTTACCCAATTCTCAAATAGTTTATCGAAGACTTTTTACGCAACGATATTTTTACCTCATACTTACATTTTGTCAATTTTCAATTAAACGTCGATAAGCTTGCTGAAAAAAAAAAAAAAAAAATTGCCATGACGCTTCACCGCTTTCTTAATTCTCACTAACTTGCTACTAACTTAACGTTTATTTACTTTCATTTTTGTTTATCTCTCTTCACTGGCGATCGATCCTTACGATCTCAGCTCATGCTCGTCAACTTTTCCAGAACAATGTTCCGGGTTACGGTGACGGCGCAAAGGAGGACTTTAGCGACCTGCCGCCCAATCAGCGTAAAAAACGACTGCAGCAGAAGCTCGATGACATGCAAGCAAAAATACAGCAAGAAACGGCGGCGAGGGACGCCCTGATGAAGATGAAAGGCGTCTACGAGCAGAATCCCGCCCTTGGCGATCCCATGACTATAGAGAGTCAATTGAGCCAGTCGAGTAACAAGCTTGACAAACTCGGCGCCGAGCTGATCAAATTCCAAGGATATTTGGACGATGCCATTAAGGCGGGCGTTAGTTTATCAAGGTATCGTCGCTTTTTAGCGTATCGGCGCACCGTAATTGACGTAATTGACGACGCGCCTTCCATGCGAATTCGGCTACGCTTTCATCAACGCATTCATACTCTCTCCCATCAAATTGTCACATTGTAACGCATCTATGCGTTATGGTATGGAGCTCGTCGCTCCATTGCTCTGCACGAATGCACTCGTATGGAAATTGTAAATTGTTAAATTTAACTGCGAATGACTAGTGGCGAGCGACCTATAGCTGTTTATAACGGTAGTCGTGAAAAAAATTAATGAACAAATGAACGATTAATTAAGGAAAGAATCGGCTTTAATATAAATAAGAGAGATGGTCGCGCATCCGCCCTAAATAGGCTAATTAATGATTTTTGTTAATTTCGACAGCCCGAGTCAGTTACAAAGAAAACCAACGACAAATGGCTCAGCCACAAGGCCATTAAGTTCGAGAAGGTCGAGTCATTCGGGAGGCGAGGAAAGTTTGTCGAGATCCGCGTCAGATTCCAGCGTTAGCAATGCTAATGCCAATCAGGCGCTGAATAAAAAAAGTACACCAGGCACACCACAGCCGACGCATGGGTAGGTTCATACTTTGCCATTATTTTCAGCGCATTTATTTTTGGATTTGTGCATTAAGTATTCGTTCGAACGATGATTATTTTACATATTTTTTTTATCGTAAAAATGTCGAGTTCTCGCTCAAGTAAAGTCAAATTAATCCCTAGAATGTCTCGCAGACAGGCTCACCCTTTCAGCACGATTTACGAACAAAATAGCTTGTTAGAAAGTTTAGATTAGAAATTTTGTATCGACTCTTTTGTTTCACCATACTCATGCACAGTTCCACGAATAGCCCGGAGTCTGGTCTTGGAGCATCAAGGACATCGCTGCCAGGCAGCACAGGGGAAGAATATTACGTCGACGAGGTAGACGCTCAGCCTCCCCTTGGAACTTGTAAGGCCCTGTATCCTTTCGACGGTGAGTGTAAAATTGTGCCGCCGGCCAAAGTTCATTAAATCAAATTCCGATTGACGATCGCGCACAGAAATCTGTACATTGTTTCCGCTAACGATTTCTGTAGCAATTAACGACGATCAATCAATCGATCCCATAACGAACGACAATATTTCATTTTTCTTGCTTTTTTTCATTTTTTTTCATTCTTTTCTTTTTGTTTTTGTATACTTCTGTTTAGCCACTAGCGAAGGTTCGATACCAATGTACGACGGCGAGGAGCTCTACATGATTGAATTGGATCAAGGCGACGGATGGACAAGAGTTCGTCGAATTTCGCAGCCGATCGAGGGCTTCGTGCCTACATCATACATAGAATGTCATTTATATAATACATAGTCACGATACTTGGCCCGCTTACAATAAAGCATTATAAAAAGCGAAATCGAGGAATCTGAAGAGATGCCGGTCGTCGCTAAAGGTTAATATTGTCACTTGGAACTCAGCATATACATATCTCGGATTGACTGGCTGCTTAGAGGGATATTGATCGAGTAGAGAATGCCCGTCGAGCTGCAACGAGAGCTTTAATCGAGCCGATTGGAATCGTAAGGCTAATGAAAGAGATGAAAGTGTGTGTGCGTGTGCGACTACGACACGCTTCTTCGCCACAAAGACTCGCATCGGTCGATCCTTGGGACCTCGACGGTGGACAAGCACAAGCTTAGCGGGGCACTTGCAATCCGCTGCTCGAGTACTCATTGTTTCTCCCACCCCCACCCCCACCCCCCAAGAGCGAAGAACGAAGGCATCCATTTTTGTGATTTTATTATTTTTAAATATCTATCGAATCCCGTGCAATTCCCCTTGCGTGTAGTTATAAGATTGTAATGCTAACACAGCCATAGAATGGTGGTCTCTTGTCAGATGAGCGCAACGGCATCGTAACTCTAATATGTTCCATTGTTTGCAATATATTATTCGCATAATGAGTAATTCCAGTGTCGAAAGTACGCGTATTATTTATCAAATAATGTCAGAATTGTGTATGCGTGATAGCATTAAGACATTTTATCAATTATATTTCAATGAAACGATTTGTGGCGAGAGACTGAATATCAGCCAAATTCACCCGTTTATCGGGTGTGATTGCGTCAACGATGTAGACAAATTCCACTTTGGTGTGAAAAGAGGTACTTTATGTGTACATAATATAAACAAATCAATTCTTTCGGCATTAATAGGGAGCCTGCGATAAATTGCTCGAATGTCACTTAGGAAAGAAAACATTATCGATGAATTGAAACTTAGATCTGTGTAAATAAATGTCAGTGTATATCGAAAAACCGAACAAGAGAATGTAAGCGTGAAAGTGCCAGAATCGGAGTCCCGTACGAATTTTAAGTTTTACTTATCCGACATCTGGCACGACTTTTTTTTTCTTCTTTTTTTTTTCTCCCCCCCCCCCCCTTCATCTATTATTATACGATTATGGCACGATTCCCTTAGAACATAGCACAATGCTAGTCAAGCAGATAAGTGTCAAGATTTCAATTGTTAAATTTACTAGCGTTTATTATAATAATAATAATAATAATAATAATGATAATGATAATGATAATGATAATGATAATGATAATGAAAATAATGAAAATAAAAATTATAATAATAATTATAATGATAATAAAAAATAATAATAGTAATAGTAATAGTAATAGTAATAATAATACATGTACGAAGTATAAGAACCGTGATTTTATCAATGTCAACGATAATAAATTTATGCAGGGTACAGCTATGATTTGAAGATTGATTTTATGTTATAACCGTATTTCTCAAATTTTTAAGACTTTTGTTAAGAATGCAAGTAAGAATTATGATGAATTTGAAACAATGAAATGTTTATTCTCCGTTTGTAATCGAAATATTGTAAATTTTGTTATGCCATTGTCATTAACGAATGGAAAAATAGCATACTATAAGCAAAATGTACAAGAAATTTTTTATAAAATAATTAAATATCCAATACTATGTAACTATAAACTCTACCCTTATAGAAATATTAATTCACATTTTATCGGATTGACTGTAGAGCAAACTTTAAATTCTCTTTTTTTTTCTTTTTTAATTATATATATATATATATATATATATATATATAAACAAAAACAAAAACAAAAAAATAATGTTTTCATTTGATAATAGCTTTGTATGCACGAATACCTGTTCCAATGGGGAAGCTCGGAATTTCATCAGGAGCATGTTTGTACATGTCTTGAATAAACCATGGACCACGATTAAAATTCATAAATGTGTTAATCGCATATATTACGCGTATATGCGCATGTGTATATATATATATTTTATCGTTAAACTATAGATTTCATTATGTAATTACGGTTTCGGTAAAATACATTAGCAAACAAGCAATTAAACATTTTACACAACAGCAATGATTGTCTCTCGAAAAACGTATTTTATTGTTTGTTTATCTATGTTGTATTTTACATGAATCAAATAGCCGCGCCATTATTGTGGTTCTTTAAATTTAAATACAAAAAATACATAAATATATTTTAAGACTTGTAATTTATTGTCGATCGGGAGAAAAATGTGACCTTCAATTTTAACGATAATTTTTGCAAATCGCAATTTGTTAATTACAGATTAATACACAAGTGAGAAAGTAATGGTGGCCGAAGTAGGCAAGACGACTAGCAATGGACATTTTAAGTATGTCAATTCTTTGTATATTTTGTGATTTTTTTTACTAGCGATCGCGATGAAGACTGTAGATAATTAACTAAGCGACTTATAGTTTTAATGATAATTAATAAATTTATCATCATTGATAAAATATAGGTACTAAAGCCAATATAACTCATTTATATACTGCAAAGAGCAAGTAGGCGAGTCTTGACATTATTGCCCTTCCTCGACTATTTATCCGTAAACTATTTTACAAACGATTCAATCATTTTGAAAAATAATGAAACTACTAATAATCGATAATATTCCACGTCGAGATTATCATTATTTTTTCATTGTTTTTCAAAAATATTTGATCGCTCGAAGACTTTGGCAAGAAATATTTTCGTCGTTTCTACAAAATTTTTAACCGAATGAGTAAAATATTCATTCAAATTATCAGCACCTTAACTTCTCTTGTCAATTTTTTTTTTTAATATCTGTACAAAGCTTATTAGTTTCATTTTGTGTATAATAAATGAAGATTGTGAGCTCTTTCACAATTAAAACGGAATTCCAATTTAATTATTAATTTATTAAAACCCGTAAATTATTGTTTATTGTTATTATAGTATCCATAATGTTTTATGTAACTAATAAATAAGGATAAATAATGTACAAACTTTATTCTCACAAAATGTATTACGTCCAGTGGACAATTGACTAGATAGAAATTACAGTGTGTTACAAATAATTTCAAAACTGAGTTTAAGAATATGAATAGGTAAAGGAATTTCTCGCACACATCGTTGAAAAAGTCGCCGGACGTAACATTACTGCCATTCACAAACAAAACAAAAAAAACATTTTCAATTTATACTTTCGTTGAAAAGTAAAAATAATAATAAGAGATGATAATTAATGTAACGAATGATGTATGATTAATTAAAATCGACAATACTCGTCATCTTTGATAATTAATTTTTCTAGTCGAATAGTACCGCTTGTTCGTCGCACACACTAATTTATTTACTAATTCATTTGCCTCGTCGAGATCTCATGACAATTATTATACGATAATTTGTTTTATCTTTTAATTACTTTATTCGCTTCGAAGGCACTGACAGTTAATCGGTCATTAAAATGACCATTACAAACTTTACTTGCAGTCACGTATTTTTAATAAAACAATGCTACGATGTTCAAAGCGAACAGTCAGTTTGAAGAAAAAAAATAGGAAAAAAGATTTAAAACAAATTAATCTTAACTTAAAAATTATCATACACATTTTCCTTTTTATATTATAATCGGTATACATTTTTTCACAAACGAAGTTCATAACAAAAAATTGCTGTATATAAATAATTTCCAAAGTAAAACGATAAATAGTGTAGCAAAGATACAAATAATTTATTTTACTGTCTAAATGTGTCACAATTGTTTATATACGGAGACACTTTTTTTTTCTTTTTCTTTTTTATTGAATTATTGCACGAATATTATTAATAACATATTGTATATAAGCGCCTGTGTTTAAAGCATATAATTTTTTGTTTTTGGTTTTTTTTTTTTCGTTTTTGTTTTTTCTTACTTCTTTTACTCCATACTTTTGTCATACGACAATAAATTACACAATATGTGTAAAATTTTTATTTCCATTTTATGAAAATGCGACCAATTTATAATCTCTTGCTTAAGTAAAAATCTTGATATGTTAAAAGATTTAAAATAATGAATGTGAATTAACTCAATCATAGTGGAGATTGAAAACACAAAATTCCATTTCTTAATTATTGTTCGAATAAGAGTGGCTGGATGTGTCAAGTTTAAACTTACTTTGCGCTTTGATTACTTTGTCATTAATGTATCACGATAAAGAGTCGGGTCAAAAAAACGCTGACAAATTATATTTAGGTACTTGGGCATCGTAGTAACAATCTCATTAAATAATTCTGGGTGCGATAATGGATAATTTTATTGTACATTAACATCCACATTTTAAATCTTTGAAAGCCGCCTGAGGATGAAAAAAGCCATTAATGTGTGCTCGCGCGTGCGTATGTACGTCTCGCAGGGATTATAAACATTATTTATAACATTATTTACAAATTGAAGTTGATTATATAATACCTAACGGACATCGAGAAAGTATTTTATATTTTACACGTGCGTAGCGATTTTCGGAGTCAATTCATAATGACGGTATTTTGTAAATCGACTGTAACGGCTGCGTGAAACGTCATTACAAAATTTTGTTGGCTCGCGCACGCACACAAGCACACACACAAAGTATATGATATTATAAAACAAACTTGAGTTAAAACTATTATTATAAAGTTATGATTATTTTAAATGAGTATAAAGCGCTTATTGGATTAGACATTATCGCACCCGCATCTCTCTCTCTCTCTCTCTCTCTCTCTCTCTCTCTCTTTGTTCGAGCTATGTAACAAACAATCGTCAAACCCTTACTAAATCCGTTAGCAATATAGACATTGACGTTTCCTTTCCTTCTGTAGGGCTAGAATTTTTAAAAAAAAAAACCACCCCATAATATTTCCTTCGCGATAAGAAACTTGACCACTTGGATAATCGTGCAGAAATGAGGAATCGACGATGCGCCGCGCGCTCATCCCTAATCTTCTTCAACAATATCGTTGACGTTTCACCCTTCGATACAGTTTTGCATTCAGGATTTAATGTGCGCCACGTTAGACGCACATCGACGACTCTCATGCGCTCCTCGTCGACAGTTCAAAGAATATACAATGTGTGATTGTTGGAAAGGAGGAGAAGGATGAGAGAGGGTGAGCGTGATCTGTGACTGGGCGTGGTAACGTTTATCCGTATCGACAACTCGACCCGCGAATATTAAGGATTAAAGGAGACAAACGATCGATCAAACATACGCGCCGGAAAATGTCAACGGGTTGCGTGGGGCGCGGACGCGTCCCATCGTCCCACGCTTATTACGCACGAAACATTAAACTGTACAAAATGGGAAAAAGAAAGGAAACGTGGTGCGACGTGTCCGCCTCTGTAAGTTACTCTTCCTCCTTTCCCCCGTCCCGTCGTGCTCCATATTATTAGCCGGGCCCGCAGCCACGAGTGAGTAGGCTCCGATGTTGCTCAGACGCTGAGGTCCTCCCACTCTTCGCGCTGGCGGGACGACAAGTCGATCCTCAACCGTAACGAGAGGTCCTGCAAGTGGTCGTGGATGCGCGCCGGAAGTGGATTCTCCTTCAAGTCGATGAACTCGAGCGCCGGTGAGTGCCTCAGCATCTCCACGTCGATCTCTAATTTATTACACACAAGAGAGATTGTTTGCGTTAGTCTTTGGTATTATTAGCCTTGGGCGCCTCCTACTTTTCACGGTCGCGCTGCTGTTGTGCTCCTTCAATGCGCTCGGGAATCGCGCGTCGATTGGCCAGGGACTTCCCGAGCCTTTTAATCGACGTGACGAGCCAATCGACACGCGACACTGCCCGCCTCGTCGCTTCGCTGCAGCCGCGCACACTTTACTTTCACCTTGGCGGCTCATTTATACGGCCGTTTAAAGCGTAATTGCCGGTCGCGCGACGGGTGATGGTGATTGCGATGATGGTGGTTGTGGTGGTGACTCACCGATTATAGAATTGTTATTGGCGAGGAGCCGCTTGAGCTGTGGTATTCGGAAGGTGACAACGGGTAGGGCGATAAAGGCGTTGTATGAGATGTCGAGCCTCTCGAGCGCTTGGAGCTCCGACAGTTCCTCCGGCAATTTACTCATTTGGTTGTGACTCAGGTTCAGCTCTGTGGAAAAGCGTCGAGAAAGCGAAAATTTTTAATCGTGAGAGTTAATGTGCCAGTTGAATTAATCAAGCATTGCATAAGTGTACGAACCAGTGATGAGAGAGAACTTGACGGCGAATTTCGGCGGAATCTTGGTGATGACGTTACCCGAGAGGTCGCAGCTCTTGAGCTCCGTGTGCCTCATGAGATGATAGACGGCATCCGGTACTTGCATCAGCTGGCACTCGGACAGATCTGCGAACATGCGAGACACTAAGTTGAAGACTCTTTGGACTCGTTGGCTACGTTCGCCAGCGTAACATCCGTGTCCCCTCGGAACAGCTTCCTTTCCAATATCCTAAAATTGCGTCTTGCTTGGTTTATCCCGCGCGTCTAAGAGATCCACTCTCCATAGGACCGTTATCCGACAGAAACTGGGCCAAGGATTTACTTGCAACTCACTCACTCTCTCTCTCTCTCTCTCTCTCTCTCTCACTTTTTAAAAACGATTTTATTAATAGCACGTATATAGCGTGGCTGACTTTGTAAAATTGGAGCGAATGGGTATAAGCGCCGTTAGCTGGCTTATCCCCTACCATTAGTCATGCTAATTAAGAAGACGCTCGACGCCCTAATACCCCAGCCCCAGCACCAGCTCCATCGACGCCCGCATTATTTGCGAACAAGCTCCGCGACCAGGAACGACCGTTGACGTATCGCACGACAGCTCGAGCTCCGGCTCGTTCCGCCCAATCGCGCTCCCAACTCCCCTTTCCACGCTGTCCGGGACAATCTCGGGAAATTTATCGCAAGTTTAGCGGATTAAGGCGAGCGAACGCGAGCGACGCGGAAATAGCGGAGAAACGGAAGCGAGTCGCCGGTGGTCGAGAATCCACGATCCATCGCGCCCTAAACGTAACCGCGGCATGCGAAAGCGAACGTTCAACGCTTTCTCCGTGGGGCCCGAGGCGAGGCGCAAGTTTCCGGGTGCACTGACACGCCCGTCCGGGCGCTTTTCCTCGCGGCCATTGTTAGCGCGCACTTTTCTCCACGATCGTCACGCATAAGGGGGAGAGGGCCGTCGAATTTGTTCCCCGACCCTCAACAAATCGAGCGCCGAAGCTACTCGGATTTGACCGGACATTACCAAGGGCGCCGCTCTCCTGGGCTTCCTCGCACTGCAGGACGACCTTCGTCACGGCGCTCGCCATGTTGCCCGCCCGAGCGCGAGACTTCCGGGTGCGCGACTGCCGCTACACAGCAGTGACGAGCCTCGATGGCGACGCCTACTCCCTCTGTCCCTCTCCGTCCTTCGCCGCTGCACTCGCTGCTGCCGTCGCCGCTGCTGCCGCCACCGCCTCCGCCATCCGGAAAGTTACGAAAATAGCAGTGGCGTGCAGGAGCCTTGAGGCGAGGTCGGGCCCTCGGCTCTTATCTGCCCATCGCTTTTCACTCGCTGATCGTTACGCGAATAATGGAAACTCGAGCGTCAAAATAGGAGAGAGAGAGAGAGAGAGAGACGAGACGAGACGAGACGAGACAAGAGAGAAAGCAAATAGTCGTCGCGCGATAATTTATTTACTCCGATTGTTACCGACGGCATCTAATGCATTAGTCGGTCGATCGCTCGCGCTCACACACCGATCCTTATTATCTCGAGGATGTCCTCGCACGCAATTATACGCCCCTGCTGCATCATTTTTTGTCACTTATTTATATTGTTCGTTCGTTCGTTCGTTCGTTCGTTCGTGCGTTCGTTTGCTCGTGCGGAAACGGTGACTTATTTGCATTGAAATCTGGCCCGTGTCTCCGCTTATAGGATTTAAGCCACGACAACGACGACGACGACGACGACGTGACGACATTATGAGAACGATCAAAAAGTCGCTCGAATCCCAGGACTGCGATGCCCCAATGACAACTACTAGGCTAATATTTTGGGCATCCCCCCCTCTCTTTCCATTCAACAAAGAGCATCGTTATTCAGCGGGAGCTAATTATCCTTTTCGTTTTCACCGTGGAGCGCTCGCGTTGCTCTTTTTATCGACATGTGGCAAAAAATAATATTTTTCTTCTTATTTAATTGTTACATGCTGGAAGGCTCGTTACTTTATATAACCTATTAATTATTTTGTGACTTACGTAAGAGACGGCGGATAGGCGAGGAAACGATATCGAACGCAACGCAGTTTTCTCCGATGCGCGCTACTTTGCAAATATGCCCGGAAAGATCGCGCAAACGCGCTCTCGCGAACATAATAATTGGCGCTTTCGCGAATACGCCTGGCTCGCTCCGGTGGCCGGTGCCTCTTACGCTCATCACGATCCTCTCGTCGCCCATAATCCAGCGACGGCGAAAACTGGTGCACACTCCGTGCGGGATCCTCCGCGCTCTCATCGCCACACAACGCGTCCTTCTCTCACGGCAAGCTGCCTTTTAAGGCCCTCGATGCTCCCATATACGGGGCCACTCGGTTGCCACGCACTCCCCCCGGCCTCTATCGCACAAAGAGACTTATTTTAGTCGCGCTGACAAAAATCCGCGGAAATAACGAGGGACAAAGGATCAGCCCCTGCTCTTCCCTCTCGCGCCCCGAGATTCCATTCCGCGTTTCAAAGCGCTGTTTTTCCATTGTCCCGACGCTGCTTGTCGGCCACCGTCGCCTCCCATTCAGCCCCGGGGACCGCCATGGCAGCACCACGTTCCACCCTCGGTGCTTTGACCCACCGTGCTTTAACAAGCGCGGTGGACTCGCGACATTTCCAAGCGCTTTCCCGAGTTCCCCGCGGCCCCTCCCGGACCAAAATAGACGCTTTAACGGTAAAAGCAGAAGAAGCGAGTAAGATGCATCGGTGCTCTTGTACGCCTCGCGCCTCCATGCACCACCGAGGGGAACAATGGCCGGACGCGTTACGCAACGCCGCGAGATATCAATCCTCTGCGATATTGGTTGCGCGTCGCTCGCATTTCACTTTTGTTGCGCGTCGAGTACCCGGATGAGCCTTCCCGCGACCAGGATGATATCCTAGATCCGCGAACGCCGGCTAATTGTGCTTTCCCGTTCCCTTATCGCATCACCAAACGCCCCTCGCCTTTCTCGCCCAGCGTCCCTTTTCCCACCCACCCTACCCGACCAAATTTACCTCACATTCTCGCCTCGTCCTCCCTCGATTCTCTACGGCTTTTTACGCAATTTCGCGCTCTCCTGTCTTTCAACGTCGGTGCCCATGAAGCGCCTCCTCTGTCTCATGGGAGCACAATTATCGCAAGGACGCGCAGTTATTCGCGATCTCTGCACGCTCGCGATGCTATCGCGCAGGATAAAACAGTAACGGGTAAACGAATGTCGTCGTCGTCGTCGTCGTCGTCGTCGTCGTTCCTTCAATAATCCTAACAAGAACGAACGTTATCCTCCAAACATGACGAAATAAAAATTCGAGTTATTGGCAGTTTGGGATTGATGAAAGGTCGACGGTATTATGGGAATTTGGAGGGATGATCGCGCTCAGTCGCGCGTAATTATCACGCCGAGGTGTGCCCGCAGCGAACGTTGTCGATCGAACGTGGGAATAAGGGTTTGGGATCAGAGGCGTAAATGGTCGTGGAAAGAAATTGTCGCAAGGAAAAATGCACGCACACTGCATGACGTCGTAAGCTCGATGCCAAATGACGCACTTGTTGATGCGTCGACTGCGACAGTGAGGCTACTATCTCCCTTTCACCGTCGTACGCCCTTTCTCGTGGACTCGCAGTCTCCGCTTCCTCCGTCTTTTCTTCCCGATTTCGCCGGTCGAGGTTAATATTGACGACTTTGTCACCTTGTTGTAACCTGCTTGTAGGAGCATAATTCTTTTCACGGGCTCGCCTCCCCGTAACTCCCTGGACCATTTATTTTGACAATTCGATATCCTGCGGCACTTAAAACCAGTGGCTCTAACCCCAGCTGGGAATAAGCTTAAATCATGTTCGGACGGCGAAAGTGCCTCGTCAATTGGTAAAGGAAGAGCGCTCGCTTTGATCGTAGTCGATGTTCAAGCTTCGTGCGAAACAATCGACATCGTTCTTTCGTTACTCCAGTTAGAATCCCTCGGGGTCTCCGGAAACCACCAAGTCCCGCACTCTATAAGTATTTGACTTGTCCTGTGCATTACATAGCATCAGCACTAATTTCAAGACTTTGACGTATAATCGAGACTGAATGGATTGCGATGAAAATTTCATACAGCGGGATACGAATTGCTCAAATGTAATCGCAATTGCTCCAAAGAAATACACAAACAAAAACAAACGGCAGGGGCAAAAAAAAAAAAAAAGAAAGAAACAAAAAAGAAAAAAAAAAGAATAAATAAGAGATTGGCATTATTAATAATCGTTTTCCCAATTACTCTAAATAATACATCAACGAACGATTTAACAGTTCGCCAGTTTTCACCCAGTTTGCAAAGACTTTTTAAGACCATGAAATACCATGAAATACCGTGGAAATATAAAAAGTGCAGTGTTAAAGTGTGATTTTATCGCCTTGGAGTAGTCACAGCGATTTACGAGAATCTACTGATCACGGAGATAAGCTCGAATGGAAGAAACAAATTTTCATCTAAAAGCTATAAAAGCCATGAGCGACTTATTTGGTCGATTGCAATTTATCAGCACTGAAATCATGAAATCACTGTATTCGCTTGCGGGCCGATCATTTACTTTTTTTACATACCTGGTTCTCAATAATTCCAATGCGATCGTTAAATATCATAATCTGCTAAACGAACTTCCAACGCTAAATATTATCAATCGAACGTTGTTCTTCAAAATTCATACACCAGATTTACTCCCACAATTGACGCGGATCTAGAATCATTGTTTTATCGGCACCCACACCTACAAAGCCCAAGCACAAGCACAGTGCTACGACACTTATTGGCGAACAAATTGGGGCTGATCAAATTAATAAATGCCCAATCGATATTTCGCTCCCATTTCGCCTCATTATGAACGCCAACTAAGCAACGATGGATTATGACAATTAGCATCAACGAAATTCGCGAGCCAATTCCGTGCCAATAAGCGACGCTCATAGCGACGCTCCGACGACCTGCCGTATTCGCATAAGCGAATTACTGTCTTGCGGCCGTCAAGCTTCCCTTGCGATGCGCGGGACCGTTAATTCGGCGATAAATGCTACTCGCATCAGCGCCGAAACTTGAACCATTTGGCCTTGTCGTCGAAGTGGATCCACGTCCTTACGAGGGTGCCGAGAGAAGGTCACGCGATCCCAAAACAACCCCAATCCCCTCGAGGTCCCTACATCCGCGGTTGCACGACGTCGTCGTCGTCGTCGTTGTCGTTGTGCATCGAGACGAAGAAGAAGAAGAAGAAGAAGAAGAAGAAGAAGGAGGAGGAGGAGGAGGAGATGGAGGTGGGTCGCAGCTATGGCGCCTATGCTTATTTATATCTCGGGATCTCGAGAGAACCGTCGGCGCACCCATCTCGATGTACCTTCTCGCTCTTCTCGGGCCGGCGCGTGGATGGGGCCTCGGAGCGTACGAATCGTCCAGGAAGCGAGCGGCACGTCATCTTTCATAGCGGGTCAGCTAGGCGCAAATGCGCGCGCGCACGTGTCGTCGATTATAAATAGACGTTACTGCTCGTTTCGAGGCGCGAGTTGGGCGTGCGCGGATGATCACAGTCGCCGATCTCGGCATCCGGACGGTAAATCACCCGGCTCGATCGGCCGAACACGCTTCTCGTCCGGATCTCCCCGGATATAGCCCCTCCCTATCACCATCGCCCCCCAGGTATGAGGGAGGGAAGAGCGAGATAGAGGCCACGGCGCCCGGACCTCGACCGAGCTCCCAAGGGCAACGGGGATTTGCGTCGCGGCCAAGCTCTTATGCTTGCCCAAGGGTATCATCCTTCCTCGCTCCCACCACCCCATGCACACACCCTCAAACTCCCTCCTCATCCGAGGATTCACTCGCTCCACTTACCGAGATTCCGATTGTCCTGGGCCTCTTCGCAGCGCGCGACCACCCTGATTATGGCCCTCCCTGCCAGCTGCACGCACACTGCCATAGCTACATTGCGCTCACCCTGCTCCTGCGATATCTGCTGTACCTCCTCGGCGTTGTAGGCCGGTGGCTTCATTATTATGCGAACGAGCCAACGACGAGCGACGGCGACGAGCCGCTACTTGTCAAATGCAAGCGATAGAGAGCCACGCGAAGAGTCAGTGAGTGAGTGAGTTGGTGAATTAGTGAGTTAATGAGTGTGAGTGAGAGAGTGAGAAAGAGAGAGAGAGAGAGAGAGAGAGAGAGAGAGAGAAGGAGCGCGCGGGAGTGGGAGAGTGAGAGTGATCGATTGAGTGAGTGACCGAGAAAGGGAGGGACAGAGAGTGAGAGTCAGAGAGAGAGAGAGAGAGAGAGAGAGAGTGAGAGTGAGAGTGAGAGAGATAGAGATAGAGAGAGAGATAATAAAAGATGGGCTCGAGACGAAGCCGGCCGCGAGGAGCCAACGAAAGCCGCTGGCAGGAGTCGCCGTTTGTTACTGATATGCCCGAGAGCACCCGGTGCTATTTAAGCCCTCGCACCGACCCTCCCACTCCGATCAGCTGACTCTCTCGCACAGAGGTGCACTCGCGGCGCTCCCTCTCCCTCTCTTCGCGTGTCCCCCTTGTCCCCGACGAAAACAACGAGAAATGCGAGTGCGCGCTGACGGCCAGGATGGGGGTTCCGATCGGGGCCGATGGTAGCCTGAGGGGGTCGGGTGTGGGACGAGTAGTGGGGTGGGGGAATAGTTACCACCGCCACGTGCTAGAGAGTCATAATGCCGAGGTGCAACCTGTCGACGACGTCTGCGCCTCGCGTAATACACGTTCGGGGCCGACCGCCGTAGCCGCCGCCGCCGCCGCCGCCGCCGCCGCCGCCGCCGCTGGCTTTGTACGCACGGCATAGATCGCTGCCGAGATCCCGATCGATGAACTTGCCGCCCTCGCTTTCTTTTGTCGCGCCTGCTATTCCTCTTGTGCGCGAGCGATAATGTTTGCTCACGTGCCACGCTGATCCCGATCCTCCTTTACCGCGGCGATAGAGTGCCCGTCTATATTTATTCATAATTCTAGTTTCCGCGAAAGCTCGCGAAAGCGCGATAGCCAGATATGCGAATTTGAGGAGGATGTAGGAAATTTTTTGTCGTTCACCGGGTGCTTTGAATAGCGCTTTGTTGTATAGATCGTTGTTGTTGTAAAAGTAGTCGCTGATAAAGTTGGGTGGGCAATGTTTCGCTTCCTCGATTATACGCCTCGATCATTTTGTCATAACAATGGATTTCGTCAACAGTATTTTGTTCGAAGAGATTTCGGCTATTAATTGTTATTAACTAGGATGTCGATAAGTTTTTCGTTATATACCTAATTGGCTCTGTGCTATTTGCCAGTATAATTGTAAAAGTAATTGTAGTCGTTGATTCGTTATCTTGGTGAAATTCTCAACAATTACTATAAAGTGCAATTTTCTTGTTGTTGTTCTTGTTGTTGTTGTTGTTGTTGTTGTTGTTGTTGTTTACAATATTTATCATTATATACAAATTATAAATAATTTGTAATTTTAAAAATCTCGTAGGAAATTCAATCCAATTGATAATACGCGATTTAAGAATTAGAAGTAGTTTGTAGAATTTAAGCAAGTAGTTATAAAGTGTGTATTGCTTTATCTTTAAACAAAATATACTTACTTTTAAGATAAAAAAGCTCGAGATGATGAAGCTCTAAAATCAAAATCGAGCTTTAGTTTTTTCAAAAAAGAGATAACAGAAGAATAAAAATAAAAGAGAAAAATATTGTTAGTGTGAAAATTTGAAAATATAATTATTGAACGGGGAATATAGAAAAATAAAAGAATTATGAAAGTTTGCATATAAAATGAAATTTAAATATTCTTATGTTTAGTTTTGAAAATCTCGTGAATTTTAATAACTATAGACATATACGAGAGCGTTTATAGTTGCGCGTTGAATAAGAATTTTATGAAAATGTAGGGAAGCCCAGGTGTCTTTATCGTTATAAATTATTGCGATTTTCGTACTGAAATTTGATAAAATTTAAAAATATTGAAGTATAATGTATTTTAATCGTTATTAAGTTGGCAGTTTACCCACTGTGCAATATTTCATTCCGCGAAACATTAGAAAAAGTAAGTTTTAATGTTATTCCGGTTTCTTAGGTTACTTGGAACTTTCCGTTTCAATTCTTTCGTGCACTAACTTTTTTTGCGAATATATTTTGCGATGCTGTTCGTTACGTAGAGTTTATTTTTTGATCCTCTTTAAGTTGCACTTTCTTTCTCTCTGTTTTAAAACGACTTTATGTACGTCATACAATCCTCTTTTTCTTTTTATTTTATTGTTGCACCGCTACGTGCAATCGACTAGTGCTTAATATAAACTGTGACTTAATCCAATCATTTGATATATATATATATAAAAAAAAAAAAAAAAAAAAAAAAAACTGTACTGATAATGATAATCAAAAATTTCATCTTTATATTATTGTTTTGCTGTTGTGTCGTAAAAAACAAAAAAAATCTCGATTAAACGAACAATCGCAAAATGGTCTGTTAACTTGCCAACGCCAAGCCCTAAATAGTCCTAAGTTCTATTCTATTCCATATAATTTTCATCTGCAGCTGCGATATTCTTATACATAAATTTGCACTTTGTTAGCTTAATAAAGTTGAAGAAAAAATAGGGTGTTCGGGTGAGTGGAGTGGAAAACCTAAAAGAGAGATGTGTATATTATGTTAAAAGAAGCTATAGTACATTTATTTTGGTCTTAAAGTGTACGACAATTAATAGCCAACCTACACACTTACTTATTTATATATAACTTCGTATCAAATGTACTAAGAAATAATAACGGTAATAATAACGGCTTTAACGATAAGGCTTATTGTATTTAACGTATTTAAGCATATGTATAATCTCATAATGAGAGTGATGAGAAATGATAAAAGTTGGAATGAAAAAATGTATCATTATACAAAATAATAAAGGATTGAAAGCTATCGCGACGTTAAGTAGAGCTTAATTTTTACGAAAGTTCTATAAAAAGACCGTAAGTTGTGAGCGAAGTTTGAGGGAAAAGGAAAGGAAAGGAGAAGGGAAGAGAAGAAGAAGAAGAAGAAGAAGATGAAGAATAAGAGAGTGAAAAAAATACAAAGTGCTTTTTTAAATTCAAGCTCTGGACGATGAAGAAAAGGCGTGATAGCACAGCTGCAGAGAAGGGGATTTCAAGCATCGGAGAATCCTCGTGCGTGCGATATACACAGAGTGAGAGAGAGAGAGAGAGAGAGAGAGAGAGAGAGAGAGAGTGTGTGTGTGTGTGTGTGTGTGTGAAGCGGGCGATAAAGGGGGACGGGTGGACGAGGGGACGAGGGGACGGGGGTGGATGGGTGGGGGAGAATCGTAATAACAGGCCTCGCTATTCGCAGAGGTGGACGCGCGCGCTAATATAAACTCGGCGTAGTCTGGAGGATTTTGCGTGTCTGCCAAAAAGCATTGGCGTTCCGCTTGCTCGGGACAAAGAGGCCGCGAGGGTGAAGAAATGCCTGGAAAGTGAGTCTCATTGATGCGACGGCCATCCCTGGGACCCGAGTCTTTGACCGAAAGTTCAAGCTGCCTCCTCCTCCAGCTCATCGCGTCCTTTATTCCCTGGCAGCAGCCCCGCGTTAACAATTCCATGTTCCAGCTGCGCTTTTAAATGACGCTGACCGAATAGCTGGAACGAGTAGTACTCTCGTCACGTAACGGCATCGAACTTCCCCATTCCCGTACGAGCTTACCTCGGCCATTTAATGGACGACTAATGTCGATTAAAACGCCTCTCTACTTTGTACGAATCCCTATCAATCGTGAATTCCTCGATCGATATCAAATTCATCTCTACAGGGTATGAAGGCGGTGGGGGCT